TGCTAAGCTTGTTCTAGGTAGGTGCTTTAGACCACTGAGCCATCTCACCAGCCCCATTATCAGTCTATTTTAATAACTACTGATACATTTGTATGATTCCATCACAAGAGTATACCATGAGGGAACTTGATTTATTGTTTCAATTATTTGTCAATGCCAAACATGCACAAATGAAAAATTTTAGCACTGCTTAAACCTTACTTTGCTTCGTTTGCCACATTAAGGCCATGAGCAGCAATTTTGAGGCAGGTAGGATATATCATATGAACAAGCTTATTCAACAACAACAATGTGTATTTTCAGAAACAGAAATGCTCCAGTAATGGAAATCACACACACACACACACACACACACACACACACACACACACACACAAAACTGGGCACGTTAATACACACCAATAATCTCAGCACTTGGGAGGCTGAGGCAAGAGGATCACTGTGAGTTTGAGGCCAGCCTGGGCTACAAAGTGAGTATAACACCAACCTGAACTGCACAGTAAAACCATGTCTGTCTGTCCGTCCGTCCGTCCGTCCGTCCGTCCGTCTGTTCATCCGTCCGTCCCTCTGTCTCTGTCTCTGTCTGTCTGTCTCTCTCTCTCTCTCACTCTCTCTCTCTCTCACATATACTTCTGTGTTCATCAATTAAAAGATTTAATAGTTAAAATACCCATATGACACAACAACTTACAGATTCAGTGTAATCCTTATGGAAACTCCAAGGGTATTTGTCTCAGTAATATTAAACACAATCTCCAAAGTCACAAGGAATCACAAAAAACCCTAAACAGCCAAAGAAATGTTAATCTTATTGCCGTTTATGGCAGAGCCTTCATACTGATCTACATCTTCAGTTTGTTTAAAAAAAAAAAAAAAAATTGAGATAGAATTTCATTAAATTGCTCAGGCTGGGATCTAATTTATAATGCCCCTGCCTCAGCCTGCCAGAGTGCTAGGATTACAGACCTGTACCACCAACCCTTCCGGACAAAGGAATCTTAAAAGTAGAGACATCACACTACCTGAATTCAAAATACTTTATAAACTATATTAATCACAGCATGGAATTAAGAGAATATGGAAGATGGGAAGAAGTTAAAGTATATGAAGCTTCAGTTAGACATGATGAGTAAATACTGAGGATGTGCAGTATGACCTGATGACTACAGTTAATAATAATATATATTATCTCAAAACTGCTTAGAGATTAGGTCTTAATGTTCTTACCACAAAGATATGGTTAAATATGTGATGTGATAGGTTAATTAGCTTGACTTAATAACTTCACAACATATACACATACCAAGCCTGCTATATAATGTCAATATATCCTAACTTTATCTGTGAATTATGCATTATTAAAGCCAGGGTGCAAGATAGAACCAGTATAGTATTGGCATAAAAAAACACAGACGGGGTCGAGGTTATAGCTCAGTGGCATAAGCTCCCACCTGGCAAGCACAAGGTCCTGAGTTCAATCCCTGGTACCGCAAAACAAAGCAAACAAACAAACAAACAAACAAACAAAAAAGGTACATACATACCAACAGAACAGATTATAGTCCAGAAATAAATCTATGTAATTACAGTCAAGCATCTTTGACAAAAGTGCCAACAACACACAGTGGGAAAAGAATAGTCTCTTCAATAAGTGATGCTAGGAAAATAGAATATCCCCTTGTAGAAGAACAAAACTGGATACTTATCTCATACCACATAAAGAAATCAGGGCTCGCCAAATAGCTCAGTGGATTAAAGTGCCTGCAAGCAGGCACAGGGGCCAGGGGTTCAATCCCCAGGCCTTGCGTGCCGGCCCGGCCCTAGCCCTGCCCCTGGGGCCTGCTGAGATGGCAATTGGGACTGTGTGTGTTGGCACAGGCTTGTAATCCCAGCTCTTGGGAGGCTGTAAACAGGCAGATGGCTACGAGTCCAATCTACATAGTGAGACCCTGTAGGCCCTGTCCTAAATATAAAAAAATAAAATCAACTCAAAACAGATTAAAAACTTAAACATAAAACCTGGAACTATGAAGCTGAAAGAAAACACAGTGGAAAAGCTTTTTAATACTGGTTTAGGTATGACCCCAAAAGCACTGTCAACAAAACCAAAAACAGATAAACAACACTGCATCAAACTATAAACCTTCTGTACAACAAAGGAAACAATCAACAGAATAAAAATATCTGAAACCAAGTATGTGTTAAGGAGTTAATATCTAAAATATATAAGGCTTTTAGGGGCTGGGGAGATAGCTTAGTAGAATAAGTGCTTGCCTGGCAAGCACAAGGTCCTGAGTTCAATCTCCAGTACTGTAAAAAAGATAAATAAATAAAATAAAATATATAAGGATCTCAACCAACTCAATAGCACTGAATGTAACTGTATTTAAAAGTGGGTAAAGAACCCGAGTAGACATTCCTCAAAAGGGGACAAACAAATGGCCAAGAGGTATAGAAAAACTGTTCAATGTTACTAATTAAACAAAGTGGGGTACTATCTCATATCTGTTAGAATGGTTATTTTCAGTATAAGTACCGCACACTAACCGATTGCGCCACTGGAGCTCCAAGAATGGCTATTTTCAAAAAGTTAAAAGATAACATGAACAGGTGAGGACATGGAGAAAAGGGGAAACTTGTACACTGTTGGTGAGAATGTAAATCAATACAGCCATTACAGAAAATACTGTGGAAGTATCTTTTAAAAAACAACAAACAAACAGAACTACCATAAGACTCAACAATTCTACTGCTGGATATACATCCAAAGGAAACAAAGTAAGTATCCCAAAAAGACATACATATTTTCATGTTCAATGAATCATTATTTACAACAGACAAGATATGGGAACTTACATGTCCATGGGCAGAAGAATGAACTTAACAATATAGTTTATTGACACAATGGAATATTGTTCACCCTTTAAAAAAAAGGAAATTCTCGGGCTAGGGAGATAGCTCAGTAGAATAAGTGCTTGCCTGGCAAGTGCAAGGTTCTGAGCTCAATCCCCAGTACCGCCAAAAAAAAAGAAAGAAAGAAAGAAAGAAAGAAAGAAAGAAAGAAAAGAAAAGAAAAGAAAAGAAAAGAAAAAAGAAATTCTTTTTATAACATGGATGAGTATGGAGGGCATGATACTGAATAAAATATGACAGGTACACAATGCTAAATATTACAGGATCTCAAAAAAGTTATAAAGGCAGAACAGAATGGTAGTTTCCAGATCATGCAGTGTAGGAAAAATGGAAGGACACTGCTCAAAGTGTACAAAGTTTCATTTATGCAAGATGAGTATATCTGAAGATCTGATGTGCTTTATGGTACTTATGCCATATGGTACTTATAGTTAGTAATACTGTATGGTGTAGACGATATTTGCTAGGAGAACAAAACATGTATGTTTTCACTACACAACATGAAAAAAGCTAACGGGGGTGGTAGCTTAACCAGGCTGATTGTGAAAATCATCTCAAAATTTATACTTACTATTTTTTTTTTTTTTTTTGCGGAACCGGGGATTGAACTCAGGCCCTTGCGCTTGCCAGGGAAGCGCTTATTCTACT